AATTAGTAATGGAAAAATCATCGGACAAGAAACAAAGAAAAGAAAAAAAAGTTAGGAACGCCATTCTCTTCACTTAAAAAGCAAATTTTTAAAAAAGAATAATAACAATAATAAAAGAGAGAGAAGAAAACGACTAGGGTTTAGTTTTTTAGTTGCTAAATGACCAAGATTGACTAAATGATAACCACACAACAATACATGATTTGTTTTTACTACAAACCTAAATGACATCCAATTAATATATGATTATAAAATGGTCATCATGTCAAATCATAATTAATTTTCAAGTTGAAGATAAGTTTGGTGGTTGGTAGAATGCTGAAAGCTCATTCACTATGCTTGGGATTTAAGAAAAATACTAAAAATTTAAAAAAATATATTGTACACAATACTCATATAAATATAGATCTCATATGATGTAGATCTCCCATCCATATAAATATTGTATAAAATATCTAATATTTTTTTTTTTGTAAAATTCCTAATATTGCTCGAGATTTAAAACTTGACACTACATAATTCACCGTCTACTAACATATCAACTAATTGATATTCTTATCGTGCAATAAAAATAAAAATAAAAATTTAATTATTGTGCTCAAGCTTAAAGTATTATTTTATTGATCTTTTGACCTTAGAGTTTGGTTGCGAATCATTTTATTATTTTAATCCAAATTAAAAAAAAAATAAATGAATTTAATAAGGTTCATAATATTCCCTCTAGTTTGGGGGGGGGGGTTTGAAACCTCTACTTGTTATTTCCTCCCTTTGTTTTAACAACTTTGTAATCAATATTGATAAACTATCAATAGGTTTTAATAGTTGGATTTAATTCTCATAAAATCTTATTGAAAATAGGTTATAGTAAAATCGTTGCTAAAAATGATTTTTTGTAATAATTTTTTGTATATGTTGTTAAAAATTAACAATTGATAATTTGTTTTGTCACAATTTTTATAAATTGTAGCTAAAATTTACAATTAGTGACGATTTTCTATGACGAATTTTTCAAATTGTCTAAAAGTTGAAAGTTAGTGACTTTTTTGTGACTATTTTTTTAAATGGTCGCTAAAACTTATAATTAGTGACTTTTTCGTGTCAAAATTTTCAAACTATCGTCGAAATTTAATAATTAGTGACTTTTTTTTATAGTATTAAATAAAAAATGCCATTTATTATTAAATAATAAGTTTACCTATTAAGACATACGTAAGTCTTTCATGAATATTTCCACGTAGTCTAGATACTCTGTTGGAAGAGTTATTTACCAAATCCACATTTGAAGAAAAAAAAATTAATTCTCAAATTTAAGTAGTTTTGAACTTATTTTCTAAGTTCACATTTGGGTTATTTGGTGCAGCTTATTTATGCAGCTTATAAATTTTTTATTTTTTATTTTTTGAGTTTGTGTTAGACTATTTTGTGAAACTCCTGCTCATATTTATTAGATAGAAATAATGTAAATAAACTGAGAAAAACATTAATTATTTAAAAGGTGAGTAAGGAGTACTTTTGACTTTTATTTTTAGATTATTAATTTTTAACTTATAATAAATTGAATCAAATAACATCATTGTTTAAAATCCTTTTTTTTTAACAAGTATTGAAATCATGTTATTTCAGCCAAAAAAAAATTTTTAGTTGATTTTGATTTTTCAAAACACAATTTCAAGTCCATAAATATGTATATATATATATATATATATTTGAATTTGAGAACTTGCACTTCGGTTATATATTTGAATTTGAGAACATGCACCTTGGTGAAAAAAGGAAAAGAAAAAGAGTGCTACTTCTCATAGTATTCAAGTCAATAAGCCGAACCAATACATAACAGTAATGGCATGTACCAAAAAACAACAGTAATAGCAGTGTCCAACTTGCCTTTTTATCATGGAGTGTTTTTAAGCAAACTTTCATTATCTCCATTTCATATATGTAACGACAGTTCTATTACAAATTTAATAGTTATAAAATAAATATATAAATTTATAATTATTTTGAATTAAAAAAAGATAATTATACTTGATGATGCTGTTTGTCTCTGAGGAATGGGTCGGGCTGATCCAGGCCTCCCACACGGTTGTTCGATCGCCGGGCCTACTGAGAAACCTGCACAAGAGTTCAACGGGAAACGGGAGTCCCCCAGCGAATCCCCCAACGAGCAAGTTAGAGAAGAGAGATCAACGGAACATAGAGATAGGATGGTAATAAGGAACTTAACCTTCTCCTTGTCATAGAAACCTGTTTATAATCTTTGTTCATCATTTCCTTGTCCACTCTGACCTGTCATGTTGGCCGAAAGTCTATGTTCTAACTTGTCTTGTTCATGGTGAGGCTGTTCTATTCCGACGTGAAGGGGTTATCGTAATAAATGCTGCAAAGAACCTCATTAATGGCTAATGTATGGTGCAATAACTTTGCAGGATCTTTGTCTGCTTATGTGCCTGGTTTTTCTCTTGACAGGTGTTTCGATATCATTGGTTCTTGGTGCAACGTTGGGTTCCAATGATGTTGGGCTTTAGTGTTTAAATCATGCACTGGGCTTTAAGTGGTGGGCTTAAAGCCCCTATAGGCCCATCTATGTCAGTAGTCCTCCATTCCCGAGTGCAGCTTCAGCCCAACGAAGGGAATAAAGAAGAAAACAGGGGTTGTGGGTGGTAGAGTGAGAGAAGACCAACCGGGAGGTGGGCCAACCGCGAAGGGTGACCAAGTAAAGAGGCCGACGTGGAGAAGGGCCGACCGCGAAGGGCGACCGAGTGAGGAGGCTGACTGGGAGGAGGGTCGACCGCGAAGGGGGTGACCGAGTGAGGAGGTTGACTGGGAGGAGGGCCGACCGCGAAGGGTGACCGAGTGAGGAGGAAATGGCGGCACGCCGGGCTCGAGGAGCGGCGGGGCATGTGGTGATGTGAAGTGAAATAGACAGGGTAGGGGAAGAGGGTAGTGGATCGTGGTCGTACACGTGGCGTAAGCTCGTAATAGGGGAGGTGATGAGTTAGCAAGAAGTGAAAGGATAGGGTAATATAGGGCGTTGAAAAGGTGGGGGTGGAAGTTTTTGAAAATTTTCAAACTGGCGAAATTTAATCTCAACCTTTGGAATATAGGCAAACCGTAGGCATTTGGAGTTATTCGCTTTACCTACCTTATCGCAAAAAACCAACACATCCCTGAAGTGAACTCATTTGTCTCATGTGACACGCATCTGTAACACTTTGTGAACTTCCTTGTGCTAGCATCTGAAACGATATGTAGACACGTAGGAGGAATGGCTCGAGATGAAGTGCCAGCCGCAAGGCTTGACTCGGTGGGAGACGACGATGCAGTGGAGTTGGCGGAACGGTATCGAGCGGAGCGAAATGAGAAGAGGGGAGCTGGTCAAGCGACGATGATCGTAGCCGCTAGGACAATTAGCCAAGTGGAGCCGGACCACTGACATACCAAGGCTGACAAGTCTACGTTTACGGTGAAGAAGTTGGAGGAGGTACGAAGGAAGTACCAAATCCCTGCGGAGATAGAGCTGATGTTGCCCACATCAAAGGAGAGGGCGTCAGATGTACGGTCGACAGAGTTCACGTTGTACGAGGAGGCACTACCGGGGGGACTGAGGCTACCACTCCCCCAAATAGTGGTGGACGTGCTTAACAAGCTAGAGGTGGTGCCAGGGCAGTTGATGCCGAACGCTTGGAAAATACTAATGGCCTGCGCGAGCGCCTGGCTGCAGGCTACCGGAGGGGCGGCAATGACAGTGGAGGAATTCTTCTCCTGTTACAAGGCCTCCGGTCAACAAGAGACGTGGGTGACCTTGCAGGCAGTGGCAGGCCGGGGTCTAGTGGCAGGCTTGCCATCTTCGATGAAGGGGTGGAGGCCGAGATGGTTTTATGTATCAGCGAACGGTGGGAGAGGAGTTTCGTACAACATGGAAAGTCCCCACAAAATCGATGGAGCCAAAGTTAGATGTGGAGGCCGAAAACAAGGTGAAGAAGGTGAAGGAGTGGAGGGAGGAGAATGGGGTGAAGTGGGATGAACTGATCCTTCCTTCAACTCTGTTTGCTCTGAGACTGGGATCGCAGCCGACGGAGGAGGATCCGGCGAGGGAAGAGCTGGAGGCGCAGAGGAAGGCTGAGGAGGCGGAAGACAGGAGAGCGTTCGCCAAAGCGGACAAGTATAAGAAGACACAGTTGGGGCCTGCCCCTAAACTGGTGATGAAGGAGCGGGTCTGACCGCGTCCCAAACTGCTGGGGGACAAAGACTTAGCTGACTTTGCCTCACTGTCGCCGCCAGTGGACCCGCTGAAGGAGAGGGGTAAGTAGGAGGTGGAGGCAGTGTTGAAGAAAACAAGGAAGAAGAGGGCGGCTGTAGAGGGGGGAAAAGACGCCCCTGTCGTGAAAAAGATAAAGGTTGGAAGCGAGGACGCCCCTATGGGGGGGAAGATGAAGGAGGGAAGGGTGGAAGCAGCTCCAGAAGGGGAGACCGCCCAAGTGGCGAAGGAAGACAAGGGGCCAAGCACCCAAGTGCTGAAAGAAGACTTGGGACCAAGTGCCCAAATGGTGGTGACGGTGGTACCTGCACCAGAAATAACGCCCAGTCCTAGCGAAAGGAAGGCTAGGACCAACAATTCAGAGACGAGTGCCGCGCTGACGATCGCATTGTACCACGCGCGCGCGCTGGAAGGGCACTCAGCAGAAGAAAGGGGGAAAGCCAAGGTCGCAGCCGACCGCTTAGTTAAAGTGCTGGAGGATGCTGTTGTGCGGTCGATGGCACGATTGGGGAAGGCCGACCTCCTAAGAGGGTTGTGCTTGGCCTAGATAGAGGCAGCGACCTTGGCGGTTGCCCTAGTGAATAAAGCAGCGCGCACGAAGATGGAGGTAGAGCCGCTAAGGGCCTAGCTGGAAGGGGTGAAGGGGCAGTTACAGAAACTAATAATAGAGATAGCGGGTTGGAAGAAGGCCGCTCAGAGTGCGTGCGTAAAGGGATTGGAGTGTGCGCAAAAAGTGAAGAAGATGGAAGTATTGGCGGTGGTGCAGAGCTACTCAGCAGAGCGTGTTGGTGCTGAGCTTCTCGCAACCAAGTCTGAGCTGGAAGCGGAACGCCGCAAGGCGGTGTCGCTAGAGTTCGAGCTGGCAGGCGAGAAGAGACAGCTGGAGTTGGTCCAATAAGCCTGCATCACCGCCAATGAAAGGTGAGAAGAGGCTCTTACCAACAATGAGGAACTGCGTGACCAGTCGATCAAAGACAAGGAAGAAGTGGATTGGCGGATCGCTGAGTTGAAGAAGGCTCTGGCTGAGGAAAGAGCCAAGTTGGCATCTGAGAGGGCGGCGTACCCCGACTTGTGCGTGGCAACCGTAGAGCAATTCAGGGGTCCGCTGAATTCCAGATGGCCATTGATGCCGCAGTCGTTAGGAGCTTGGCGAGAGAGGGAGATGGGGGGTTGGGCCGTCGGGAGCGGCTGCTGGAGGTAGGAGTAAAGAAGAGGTGATCCAGAGCTTCCAGTGGTCTGACTTCTACAAGCACGAGATGAGCCAGTTTTAGGATAGCGGCTGGATGACTTTCAAGTACAAGGCGCAAGAGCTATTCCCGGACGTGGACTTCAGCCTCGTGAAGGTAGGAGCAGACGACATCGCCCAGACCCCCTTGGACGAGGGGATTGAAGAGGAAGATCTGGCCTCCAGTGAGGAAGAGTGATCTTGTAGCTAAGTGTAAAAATTTGTTTTTGTGTGTTTTGTTTTGTTTTGTTTTTTTTTTTTTATGTAATTTCTACAACGATTTGTATGAAAGCGTAAGTTTGTGAATAAAACAACGAGTTTTCTTTTGTATTATTGTAGTCGTTATGATTTTGAGTTGTAAATTTGAAATAATGAAAATGGCTGAGCAGATTTCAATAAGAAATGGGTGTGAAAATGAGACTTGTGCGTGAGATGTGATGTAAAAAAGTTTAAAAATGGGCAATCAGGCTAACTTGTAAGGAAATCATGATGTAAAAAACTTTTAAAATGGTCTAACAGGCTAACTTGTATGATTAGTGAAAATGAATGGGCATGGACCTGGATTTTAACTAAGTATAGCAACAACTGAGACCAGCTTTGATTCAAACCAGTAGAATTCTTCATGCTAGTTCCGACTAAGATTGGGAGGTCTCTGTCTGGCTGAAACTTTAATTAACTTAGTCTGGCTGAGCTCTTCGTGCTGAGTTTGGCTGAGGCTTAAGGTAACTCAGTCTGGCTGAGTTCTTCGTGCTCAGTCTGGTTGAGGCTTAAGGTAACTCAGTCTGGCTGAGTTCTTTGTGCTTAGTTTGGCTGAGGCTTAAGGTAACTCAGTCTGGCTGAGCTCTTCGTGCTTAGTCTAGCTGAGGCTTGAGTTAACTCAGTCAGTCTGAGCTCTTCGTGCTCAGTCTGGTTGAGGCTTTAATTAACTCAGTCTGGCTGAGGCTTAAGGTAACTCAGTCTGGCTGAGCTCTTCGTGCTTAGTCTGGCTGAGGCTTTAATTAACTCAGTCTGGCTGAGCTCCAGCTAACAAGTCGTTATTGAAACACAACACAGATAATGGAGATATAAAGTCATCGTCATTTAAGGCGTAGCCTATTGATCACAAGTTTACACCATGAATGGAAAGGGCAAAAACGAACAAGTGTGCAAATCATCAAAAAGAACATTCAATAATTGATCAATACAAAAATAGGAGATGCCACTTTACTGGAAATAACGCTTCAAATGCTTGGAGTTCCATGGATGGGGGAGGTCTCTGCCTTCCATGTCCTGGAGTTGGTAAGTGCTTGGGCGAGGTCTGGCCTTAACAACGTAAAGTCCTTTCCACTTGGCTGCTAGCTTGCCCTCGGCGGGATTTTTGGTGGCAAAAGTTGCTTCTCACAAGACTAGGTCCCCCACTACAAACTCTCTCGGTCAAACTTTGCGGTTCTAGTGCGTTCTCATTTTCTGCTGATATGAGGCCCGTCTGACAGCAGTGGTCTCTCGGAGTTCTTCAATCAGGTCCAGGTCAGCCCGACGCAGTTCTTCGGTTAATTCTGGATCCAGGTGCAGAACCCTCGGGGTCGGCAGGCCGATTTCCACTAAGATGACCGCCTTAGCGCCGTATGTTAAGCAAAAGGAGGTCTCCCCAGTAGGGGTTCGGGCGGTAGTTCGATAAGCCCAGAGTACGTTTGGTAGTTCCTAGCCCAGAGTCCCTTAGCGGCTTCCAACTTAGTTTTGATGAACTTCAGGAAAGAGCGATTGATGACTTCGACTTGCCCATTGGCTTGGGGATGACCTGGAAAGGAGAAACATGGCTTAATCTGAAGCTTTACACAAAATTTCCTGAACTTAGCGTTATTGAATTGTTTGCCGTTCTCTGAGACGATGGCTTGAGTGATTCCAAATCGGCATACGATCGACTGCCAGATGAATCTGGTTGTATTCCGTTCAGTGATTGTGGCGAGGGTTTTCGCTTCCACTCATTTGGTGAAGTAATCAATGGTAACTACAGCGACCTTGGTTTTGGCCCCTACCGGTTGGCAATGGACCAACTAAGTCGATGCCCCCACTTGGTGAATGGGTAAGGACTGCAGAGCGTAACCAGTTCCGTCGGTGGAGCATAGGGGATGTTGGCAAAGCGCTGGCATTTATCACACTTAAGCACAAATTCGTTGGCATCTTGGCTGAGAGTAAGCCAGAAGTAGCCGATGCGAAGGATTTTATGGGCCAGTGACCTGGCGCCCGAATGATTACCGCATACACTCTCGTGGATGTCCCTCATCACATAGGTCGCTTAAGCTAGACTGAGACACCTGAGGTATGGGCGTAAAAATCTACGTTTGTACAGTAGACCACTGATGAGGATATAATTGGACGACCAGGCCCCAACTTTGGCGGCCTGTTGTTTGTCGTCTGGTAACTCCCCACTTGTAAAAAATAGAAGAATGTCCGCAGCCCATGGGATAGGTTTGTTTTGGAGGAAGTGAACCTCCTGTTGGGTTGGTGAGGTAGCCGGATGGGCCAGGTATTTAAGATGGACGCCATGGCTGAGGTTTAACTGGTCGGCCGAGGCTAATTGGGCCATTTCATCTACCTTGGAGTTTTCTGACCGAAGGATGTGTTTCATATGGAAAGTATTGAAAAGTCGAACAAGAGGGAGTGCAATATCCCTGTAAGCTCGCATCGTGTCTTCCTTGGCGTTGAGTTCCCCCGTAATTTGCCCAATGATCAATTGGGAATCACTAAACACTTGGATATGGCTTACACCAATGTCTCTGGCCAAGCGGAGACCTGCTATCAAGGCCTCGTATTCGGCTTCATTATTGCTGGCATCGAACATGAAACGGAGGGCACACTTAAAATAACCGCTCTCAGGGGCGATGAGGATAAGACCAGCCCCACTGCCTTCTTTACGGGATGATCCATCGACATTGAGGGTCCAGGAGTGGGGCTCTTCTGCCTCGATGTTGAATTGCCTTGGCGAAGGGGGCGTGGTTGGAGTGGGATTGGTGAATTCCAAGATAAAATCAGCGACAGCCTGTCCTTTGATCACTGTTCGAGGTTGATAAGAGATTTCAAATTGGCTGAACTCGACAGACCATTGCATAAGTCTGCCAGACAACTCTGGTTGTTGCATTATCTTCTTCAAAGGTTGATCAGTGAGGACCACTATGGAGTGAGCTTGGAAATAAGGTCGGAGTCGTTTTGAGGCTATGACCAAGGCAATGGCTATTTTTTCCAACAGAGGGTAGTTTTGTTCTGCCCCTTAAGAGCTCGGCTAATGTACTAAACCGGACGTTGTACTGAGCTGTCCTCCCTGATGAGGGCTACATTGACTGCGGTGTTTGATACGGCTAAGTAGAGAAAGAAGGTCTTGCATGAGAGCATCTGAGATAGTAGGGGGGGTTGGCCATGTACTGCTTCAATTGTTGAAAGGCCTCTTCGAATTCGATGGTCCACTCAAAGGCCTGTCGAAGGACTTTGAAAAAGGGAAGGCATTTGTCTGTTGCGCGGGGGATAAAACGGTTGAGGACGACGACTCTGCCGGTAAGCCGTTGAACCTCTTTAACCATTTTGGGAGACTGCATTTCTATCAAGGCCTGGATCTTTTCGGGGTTGGCCTCGATGGCCCGCTGACTAACCATGAAACCCAAGAACTTCCCAGATCCTACGCCGAAGGCGCATTTCTCTGAATTCAACTTCATTTGATACTTATGTAAGGTTTCGAAGGTCTCTCGCAAGTCTGTCAGATGATCAGGGGAGAGTTTGCTCTTGACAAGCATGTCATCGACGTAGACTTCCATGTTCCGACCTATCTGATGGTGCAAGACGGCATTGACCAACCGTTGATAAGTTGCTCGGCATTTTTCAATCCGAACGACATGACACGATAATGGTAAGTTCCTCTGTCGGTGATGAAGGAGGTGTGTTCCTGGTCAGTCGGGTGCATTAGAATTTGATTGTAGCCAAGAAGGTGTCCATAAAACTAAGCATCTGATGTCCAGCAGTGGCGTCGACAAACAGATCTATGCGGGGGAGGGGATAACTATCTTTGGGGTAAGCTCGATTGAGGTCGGAGTAGTCGCCGCAGAGTCGCCATTTACCGTTGTTTTTACGGACCAGGACCACATTTGACAGCCATCTGGGGTAGTCTACGTTCTTGACGAACCGTGCCTCCAGTAGTTTGTCTATCTCAGAAGCAATAAGGGCATTACGTTCCGGATGAAAGACACGTTGCTTCTGGCGGAAAGGTCAGAAATAGGGCTCGATGCTAAGACGATGTGTGTTGAATGATGGATCAATACCCGGCATGTCGGAATGGGTCCAGGCAAATACATCATTGTGCTTGGTTAGGAGGGCTGTAAGGCCGGCCTTGGCTTGGGATGAGAGTTGGCTGCCGATCTTGGCTATTTTCGTTGGGTCGGTTGGGTCGATGGGGACTTTAACAAGTTCTTCCACTGGTTCCCTTCTGACTAACTCGTCTTCGTCTTTGACATCGAGCCTTTCGATGATCATGGCCTCTTTCAGCTTGACCTCTTTGAGTGAAGCGACGTAGCATTCTCTGGCCACCGTCTGCTCTCCCCTCACGATGTCGACCCCAAGGTCGGTAGGAAATTTCATGGCCAGATGGTATGTGGATGTGACAGCTTAAAAAGTGTTGAGGGCTGTGAGGCCAAGGATGA